TGACTATAATTATTTGTGTGTATACAGCCTATGGGAGGGATTTATCTTCTTGATTCCCACCCTCCGTAAATACACCACTGATAATGATTAAATTTTGTTAATTTTACATTCGACAGTTTTATAAAATACATAGATTCTTAATTTACTTGTAGAAAAGAGAAATCGGAGTTTGAAAACGGCGCTTTTCGTTAGATGCTGTTTGTTTATAAATCAATAAAACAAAAGACTAGCTAGTTAATTTGTTAACATACTAAAAATTGTTTAAACCTTATTTCATTAGCTACAAAAACAAGGAGCGTTTTTTTTTCAATAAATTAAGGATAATTTTTATGTTATATTGTTTTTAGTAAATTTTTTACTGACTTAAAAACATTAAGCTAAAAAAAATCTCTTCTATTGGATTTTTAGTTGTTACAAATAAATAATAAAATAAAAAATACTATACATAGTCATGAGTTAAATAAAACGACAAAAAATGTTCTAAACAAATATTTATCACTTAAACTAAAACAATATTCTGTGTATGTAGTATTTTTTCAGTAGATATGTTGAATAATATTTTAGTTGTTTTTTAGTTATGCCTCTAAGCCCCCTGATTTTTGCCAATGAATAATTTGCTAGATTATTGTAACCGAACGGTAACAATTGTACTGATAATAGTAATAACAAATACATACATATAATATCGGTTCGTAAATATAGAATGTGTGTAACATTAAGTCAGCATAAAAACTTGAACTCTGAGTCAATAATTTTCCACGGGCCGATAAACAATCGAACCGGAAACGACGATGGGAAAACTCTTCGACCAGATTAGGTTAAGTTTACCAACTACTAATTATAAAAAATGTACAATAAGATTATGGAAAGTAAATGAAATAAATCGCGTTCATCGTCACGGCGATGATCATTAGCATTAAAATCACGATTGTCACCTATCATAGTGTGCATACTATTTAAATACGGCTGGTTGAGGCACGGTGACAGTATACGAAAGATGAATCGGTTACAAGCAACTACTATGCTGCTAGTGGCGTCGGCAATAGCGGCAGAAGTGACGACAGCCACTGGACAACTTGATCATATGTCAACTCAACAAATACATTGGTTACATGGTTGCGGTGCAGCCGAATAGTTACAGTGTGTGACTCAAAATGTGATCAGAACGTTTAGGATGTTGGAACAATTAGACCGTTTGCAACTAGTCGACGGCGTGCGTCTGGTCAAGACCCCTACAACGACCGACCGATCCACCAAGTAAGTATATTAATCACATCGTGTAATTATAGAACCTACCTATACTCGATAATATATAATAATAATAATAATAACAGGCGTATTTATGCAGTTAAATAATTAATTAAAAAGTCTATTATATACTACCATAGGCTCAAGTTACAACTGCGCTGAAACAGTTCAAATATGCTCAAACCAACTTCTTAACAATCAATACAACAACTGCCGTAACAAAGAAAATGATTTTTTTTCTTGGCGATAAAAACTCCGTTCAGGCCACTTCTACAGATAAGATATTCAACACAGATCATATTGTAGTTACGTCGTGTTTTTATTTATTTCTTATATTTATATGGTTTTTGATAAAATTGAGAACAGGTTAGAATTCTCAAAAGGTAACCTTTTTTGGTTAAGCTAAGTTCATCAGTATTGCTTTATAACGTCACACTTCTGCAGTGTATAGTTACGTGTTCTAAATCTGCTACTGACGGAATAATAAATTTACTATTTTGTTACATCTAGTCGCCACCAAACGCATAGTAATTTTTTTTTTTTATAAATGAATAAATAAATAATAATATATGTTATTTACAAATATTATATTTACATTTAAATTTTAAATCTATTTAAAGGAAATTACGTAGATACTTTTAATTCGGGAAAATATTTATCACAAACTTTGAAATTTTTGTTTTTAATAATTTAAAAAAGCGAAGAATCTATAATAAAATTAGTCCTGTTATACATAATGTTATAATATTGTGCAATTTACATATTTTTTCCTCATATAGTTGTAAATAGGTATCTATAAACATTGTATACCGATAAAATCGTGTAGCTCTATGCCAATTTAATACCTTTGTCTTGAACATAATGAAAATAGTTTCTACAGTCTCATAAAATTATTTTGATGTTTTTCCCGGACTACATTAACTATTTTAACATTAAATTTACTTAGCGAAGTTATTTATAAATTTTCAATCTGATAATTAAAAATTACGTAAAATCAATTGTAATATTGTTGTATTTTAAACATTTGTACATTTGCGATATTTCCAAGTAAAATTGAATAAATACGCGTACATCTTATACGAGTATAGGTGAAGTTAACGAACGTCGTATATAATATATGATATATAGTTGATACTTAGTCATATAATGTATTATGATAGTATTATTTCCCTTAAAACATTAACCTTAAAAACAAGGGAATATAATATCATGTGTATATTAATATCCCGTTTATTTTCTTTAATATTTTTATAAAATTTACAGAGTACTACACGCGTAACATAGGTTCAAGTAATTTACATTTTGGTAATATATAGGTAGAAAAATAATTATTTAACCAATTTCAAATGCATTTTCTTAAAAAAATATTTTTATTTTTTTATTTATTTTTTTTTATTGGTTTCCTTTTCATTCTGGACCAAAAACCAACAACTTATTAAGTTTCAATAGTGTTAACCAAAAACAAAAAAAACGCTTTGTTCTATTATAGTATATCAACTATTCACTAAAGTACTAATTATACTTTATAGTAATTTCTAATAATAACTTATAATTTGTAACACGGAAGAAAAAAAATATATTTATATGTGTGTATTTACTGATTACTTCAAAAATTAATTTATAGAATTAAAAATATGCTTTTTAGGAAACATGCTTGACACAGATATATATTTTTTCATTTTTATTTATGTATATTATCGTTTATCGATAAATCTCTTGAAACAACTGATATCTACTGTCATATACATTATGGTGTGATATAGGTACCTCTATTGACACTTGAGTTACCAAAAGACCATAAACCGGTTTCAGTTGGCTCTCAAAAGTCGATATCGCTACCTGGCTACTTAGATTTTCAATCCTCAAAGACCATAAATTAACCGGTTTCAGATCGGATTGAAAGGAGTACTTACAACAGACTTGCGTGGTAACTCAAACAAAATATACGATTATTGGTCGGAACCACAATTTATTTAAAAAAGAATACTCTTATATTGTCCTTCCGTATCTCGCCGAATACCTCGACAACCAGGACTGACCAGGACTCCTCCAGGACTGACCCGGAGTCCTCTCACTGTTTTGTCGCGGCGTTATAAATTGTACAAATTTTGTTATCTCAGCACATCTGCTTCATAGGCCAGACATAATTTAATAAAAATATCTTACTTGCTAATATTTAATCCTTCCTGTTTAAAAAAAAAAAAAAAACAAAACAAATAACATTTACTACTGTTTATATTATACGATACTACACGCAGATATCAAACATTTAATTTGACTGACAAAAAAGTCAGATTGCAGGTTGCTGGAAACCCGCAGACTCTGCGCCACATATAGGTATACAATGTACACGCTTATTATAATAAGGTATTAATAAGTAATAACTAATTATTTACTAGCTTAATCGGACTTAATTTATATGTATAACACTCGCGTGATTACAAGGAAATATAAACGCTATAATATGTCTTAAAAATGAACAAATATTGAAAAATGCAAAATAAAAATTTCACCTTTGAGGTCTTTAAGACATGAATTAAACTATATTTATCTAGAAAGTATTGTTTAAAATCAAACAAAAAAAAGATGAATTTTGCTTTGAAATCCCAGGTCAATGCTATCAAATTAATAATATCACAAATATCTGTTACTATTATTGATAAAATTTAAAAAATATACATATGTAAAATATATTTATAGTTTTAAATGTTTGAAATACATTTATATACTTTATATGTTGTAAGGGGGGTTTAACTAACCCCCATCGTGACTACAGCCCTGTATACGGGGTGATTCGCCAAACACGTTTACTCCTTTTTTCTTTTTATAATATAGTTAATAAAAATATGACCGTCGATTGTTAACGATTTCAAACTTCATGAACTCGGACAAATGCACACACAATATCACAAAAACCTCCTCTTTTTTTTCGTTTGTAGAAAGTAGTATAATTTTGTGTTACATAGTTATTTTGATTTTAAATTTTATATAAATCGTATAAAATTAGTTTTCTGCAAAAATTCCATTTTTCTCAACATTTTTCGGTTTTACCGGATTATTTTGAAAATACAGGATATTTTTAGTTTTGAATTCCCAAAAGTACCAATTAGATTCATTTCATCCAAAAAAAATATTGAAATCAAAAATCGAAGCACTTTTTCAGTTTTCAGAGTGAATCGTTAGTATTGTTAGTGCATTGTACATACACTAAAATGAACACGCTAATACGCGACACATATCGTTGTAAATCATTCATTCACCTCTTCGCTCAGAATCTAAAATACGTATACACAATTTAATGGTTCAAACAAAGTTTATTGAGGAGTGTGGGATGTCTGTACTGAGGATTGACTGTTTGAGTACTTACAAGGTCTATGAGAATAATCGAAAAAACCCATGAATTAATAATAATAATACGATAAAGTTTTATTATGCTGATTGCTGAACATAATATAAATTAAATTACATTAACATTTGGCCTATGGTGTATGGATTATGGCCCCTTGGCCCTTAAAGATAATGATTATCAATTTGTTATCAACCGTTATTCTTATCATTTCGATTGTATACCTACCGCAGAATAACTACAATTATACTGTAAATGTGCGAACTACGAAGTGGGGATAGCAGCTGTTACACTCAGACTACACAAAAGTCCTCGAACGTTTTGTTTTGAAGAATTTAATTGATATTTGATAATACTTTGTTGTTGTTATTGTGGTTTTTAACTTAAAAGCAGAATAAAAGAAAGTCCTTTTATTTTTTTTTATTGAAATTTACTGTGATATTGATTGTATATATTTTTTAGTAAATGTTTAGTAAATACTACGTGTAATCTTTATTCATTATTTCATCAGTTTAAACCCTAGGAAATAATTTTGATGAAAATTGTACAGTATTATAGTAGGTAAGTCAAACAATTACTAAAATTGTTATATTTTTATAATTTGATTATATACTTTAGAGTAATATTACTATTAGGAGTCATATTAATGGATTTAAATCCACTGATAATTTAGTTTTTATTGCTAAAAATAAAATAATTAAAACTATCAGCAATTTTAATAGTCCTTGGATTTATAATGATTATAAGACTTACAAGTTCTAACATTACTAAGTAAATATAGTAATGATTAGAGCACGGATTTTTATGCTCTAAAAAGTATTGAAATATGCCATATAATAGGCAGTAAAATCAAAAAAATATGCAAGAAAACTTTTTTTATTTATATAAAATTTACAAATTAAACAACATACAATAATTAATTTTTAATTAAACTAAGTATATAAACATTTTTTGTTTTAATATGCAATATATTTCGAATTTTATAAAAATATACAAAAATGTACAAATACAATTTCACCATTAGATTCAAATTCTTATAATTTGTGAAGATAACTAAAAAATATCTGAAAAAATGAAAAAGAAAATAATAAGTGATTACATATAAATCTGCGCTATGGTTATAATTTAGTACCAACAAAATTATTTTTAATATTTCTACTTGACAAAATGTTACTATACACAATTTTTTTTAAATTTTTGCTTTAATATGCAATATATTTCAAATTTTGTAGAAATATGCAAAAATATGCAATAACCATTAAATATGCAGAAATATGTAAAAAAAAAAATTCACTATTAAATTCAAATTGTTATGATTCGAAAAGATACTGACAAAAATCCAGAAAAGTAAAAGGGAATCCGTGCTCTAGTAATAATTATAATATTATGCATAAACTTCGAACAGAAATTGTTTTTTGTTCTTTGTTAAAACACAAAATTATTAAATTTATTCTTGTCCAAATACCTTAATTTACATTTTTCTTTTTATATTAATTTATACTCAATACACTTCTATCTATATTCATAATCATTTTATTCATAAATTTCTTATTAAAATAGTTGTCGACAAAACATATTTTCTCACTTTTATCCTAGTAATCAATACTAAGTGGGTATTTAAAAAAAAATTGTTAGTTTTACTCATTGTAATTTATAAAGATTATATTATATATATTATATTTATATGCTATAGTATTGCTTAGCAGTGTAACATATAAACATAATATTATATTTTCATTTTATTCAAGCAACTACTATTGTTATACCTACTGAAATATTTTTGATAATTAATTATTCATTTAGACAATTTTTTTATTTTTTCAGATTCTTTATGTTTACATGATTACTTAATTGGATACAACAAACATAATATTTCATCAAATACTATAACATTGCATTGAAGTCTGATTACTTGATAGAAAATGTCTTTTCAATCATTAGATCTTCTCCTACAGCAAGCAAATGTATCAGAAAATAAAAATTTTACAAAAAAATCAGACAAGATTAATTTACAAACACCATTTGGCTTAAATGATTTAATGTTTGATGACAATGAATTATATTCTTGTGACCAAAACATTACATCTTCAATGTCACAACTACATATTAATAACCAAGTGACTGATGAATGCCAAAACATATCAGATTATATAAGCAAACATCTATCATTATTATCTTCGGATGAACCTAAGCATTCAGTTGTTGAAAATAATAATATTATTGAACCAAAACTTCCTCTTTCTGACATGAAAAGTGCAAGTTTCATAAATAATATAAAATGTGAAGATAAAACTAACTCTAAGCAACCTTTAAACAATAAAGGTGACCATATTAAAAAATATAAAATATTCCGTACTAAATCATTAGCTAAGGTGCGGAAATCACCTTTAGAAAAACCAGATTCCGGTTTAAGTTTAACGTTGGGACGGAAATACCCAAAGTCAAGTTTAAACTTAATGAATAATTATCTCTGTAATGTGTTGATCGAAACTCGAAGCCGTGGGTTCAAATTTAATACCCCTTCTCCAGACGAATCAGTGTTATCTTGGATGGATATTGTTAGACAAATGCCCAGTAAATAAATAATTTGTAATTTTGATACTGTTAAATGTATTATTTTGACAAATTGATTAAATTGAAAGAACTGAAAATGAATAATAAATACTACTGACAATTAAAAAGTCATTAAATAAAATATCATTCAGTTCTTATCAATAATATCTTTATAAATGTATATATATTTATATAAATTATAAACAAAAATTTTAATTTGTTAAATTATTTACATAATTGTATGTATTATATTATAAATTACTAACTAATTTAATGTTGAAACTTAGAAATTTGTTAATTTTAAGATATTAATATTTTAAATAAATATATTTTAAGTATGGTATATTTAATACCATTATTTTAATTATATAAACCTAACTTGGTAGGTGATTATAATATCAAATCATATACTTAAAAATTAAAATATTAAAATCTCAACTGTATTATAACAGCTTTAAAATTAACAAGGTGGTGAGGTCTCATTTTAAATATAATTATTGAATTTTTTAATCTATTCAATCTAATAACTAATTATAATTTAATTATCTCTTGAGTTATATTTAAATTAGCAGCATTCAGGATGCAACCTTATTTTTAGTTAATATTTAAAGTCTCAAAATCTCAGTTTCAACTTAAACAGCTGCTTTAAAACTATTATTATGTATAACTAATAATTGTACATAGTAACTAAAGACTGAGAAATAACTAGAAACTCGAGAACTTCGATTACGAGTTTCTTTAAGTTATAACATTTTTTAATGTCTTATAGGAACTCGTACACAAACATTGTAAAGTTTTTACACTTTGTTAGTATTATTTTTGTTTATACAATTGTAAATAGTAATAATACCTGATACTAAGTATGAAATTTGTTTATTAATATTGAAACTTAAACTTTAACTCAGAGATTAGAGTTTCAATCAGTGTCATAACTAGGATTTCAATACTCAGTAAACTAAGCTAGTCGGTTATACTAAAAACCACAATAGCTATACTTGACAATATTTTAAAAAATATTAAAAATAACGTAATGTATCATATATTTAATTATATCAAAATAAGTACAAAAATAATATCAACTTTATTAGCTTAGGAAAAAATTATGTTTAGTCAATGTGTTCAAACTTATTTTTAATATATTAAAAATATTTATTAAAATATTATATTTAATAATTATACAATAATATCAAAATTATTTAATAAAAATATTACAATATTTGTAACAATGCAGTCATTTAACATTCATAAATGGCCAAAATGTTGGTCATAACTAGGTTTGCCCAGTCAAAAGCCGAAATATGACATTTTGCCCTAGGATTGTGGGCAATTCGCGTTTTGCCCGGGCATTTCTGAGGTTTGCCCGTAACATATATAATTATTAATTAATATTAATTATTATTTAGGTACTTGACATAATTAAATTTTCAAAATACTTAGATGAATTTTAAATTATTTACAAAATTATTACACAGACGATAAATCTATCCACACTATTCTACGATATAATTGTATTATCAATTATCATAATATACTTATATTATTATACATGCAATTAATTTTTTCTTGGTAAAATTTAAGCTTTTGACTCATTTTGGACTATTTATAGGCATGAGAAAATGTCTATTTTTATAGTTTTTTCCGTACATAAATATAGATAAAAAAATATTCGCTAGATTAAAATTCTAGGAAATTTAATATAAGATCCCATATGAGTTGTTTTAATATCCGTATAAAATTATTAAACGTACATTGTAATTTTTATTTTACATATATACCTAGGTCCTGGCATATTAATATACAGATAAACTACACCATTATTATCCCTTTTAAGTTATGTTTTTTACGTGTTGTGGTATTTAACATTAATACAATGGTAAAGGTATAATGCAACAAAAACGATAAGTTTATTTAAACAACTTTACAATACTGTCGATATGTTAAATAGTATAATTTTTTTTTCCAGTTTTTAACCGACGACGCCACGGGAACTGCTTTCGCATTGCTTCCGCGGCACAAAATAGCAATTTAACTTAAATTTAAGTATATAAACTAGCCATGCAGTAGCCATTAGTACATTGCACGTTGCACTGCTGCAGTAGGTATCTCAGATAGTATATTAGTGTGATAATACAATCAAAATGAGTGCAGTTGAAAATAATTTTAACTTTAAAAAATTGTTGGTCAAAAAAATTAAAAATATTTTAAACGTAAATTTAATGTCCTAGCTAAAAAATAATAAATAACGTACTTGAAGTTATACATCGAAAAAATAATATTTTATTAGACTAAAGATTTTAAACCACTACGATGAAAGTAGGTGAAGTAAAATAAGTACATAGATCAAAAAATAACATAAAGAAACAGGACATGGTAAACTTTATAAAATGATCTATAATTTAAAAAATGTTAGTACTTATATCACGTTCTATTATTCAATTATTTTTAAACAATTTTTTAATGTGTTTAAAAAAAAAAAAAGAGGATTAGTAAATCTATGATATTTAATAAAATCAATGTACGCGGACAAAATAAAATTTTTTTATACGAAAAATTCTAATTTCGTGGTTAAAATGTGATTTTTAGAAAAGGCATAATCTTAAATTTTGTGATTTATACAAGAATTTTTTTACACGTCGTAAATTGAATAATGTAACTTATATAATCTAGACAATCTATAGTTCTATGTACAGCAACATGTTTATACATTTGTACATACAGTCTGCGATGTGATTGTACAAAAACCACTGTAGGTACGCATTGCAAAGTTTATAATTCCGGACTTATAGTGAGTAACAGCTGTACCTACTTACTACGAAGAACTTTAGTAGGTAGTTCGTACTGTTCGTAGTTAGTAATACGAGTATTTTTACTATTGTATATTTATATGTTGGCTACAAATATAATGGGTATAAGACGTAAACTATTTATTCATATTTTATATCATAATTTGTAATAAATGCTGGCTAAAAATAAAAATAAAATAAAATATACTGGCTGAATAACATTTGTTATTAATTTTCTTTTAATAAATATAAGGAATCAATAAACTGTTTGTTTCTTATTATTGTTTCAATTTAGTTCAAAAAATATTTCAATAATACACATCATTATTTATTTTCATAAATAATATTTAAGTTTTTTCGATTTCTGTTCTTATATGTAATTTATAAAAGTTGTCTGTAATTAATTTTAATTTTCTTTGCTTATTTTTATTTCAAATATAATTCATAACACCATTAACACCGTTTTAGCATTTTAGCTTTATAAATGCACACATCAACAATGAATGCAGACAATGCAGTTTTAAATTATCAACGGCAACGGTTCTTATTCTTCAAAACGCAGATCCAAAATAGTTTTACATAAGTAGTATGTACTTATCTCAATGTTACATAATAATTGAACGACTTGAACGTACGCTATAGAAAAGTTATTGCGGGTCCACGTTACGGTAAGTAATTACTTTTATTTAAGTTTAGACAGCACAGCTAAACTAAACTAGATACTTACCTAATCCAAGTAAGATAATTTTATGTATTTTGTAAATATATGTACAAGACGTAAAGGTATATTGACTTATTAGATTATTTTTAGTATTGTAGTTGTAATATAGTATTATAATATATAAGCTTTACTCGTATTAAATAAATTTATGAATAGAAAATCACCTGTGATTATAAAAGATGATAATTCAGTGAGGATTTCGGTGATTTAATAGATTAAAATAAAAATTGTTTGTAACGTATCATCCCCGTATTATTCGTAGTGCGTATTTATAATAGTATGATATTATTATTTTATTTTATTGTCGTCCTTTTACGCATCATCTCTTTCCACTTCATCATCCAAAACTTCGATTATCGCCGGCCGGCAACACACTCGTTTTTTTTCGTTTTTTGTACCAATGCAATATAGTATTGAAGTTCGTAAAACAGCGAAAATCGTATTTTTATATCTAGGTTTCTATATAAATATAAGTGAACTAAATTATATTATATTATTGGTACATATATAATATAGATATATAGTTTTTGTATATTTTTTATTATTATTTGAACGTATTCATATTATTATGTGTGCAAAATCCCACATAATTTATTATATTTTTATAAGATGTACCCGATTATTACCCAAGGTTTGTAGACGATATATATCATCTATAAACCTTGATTATTACTTTCGTATATATTAAGTAATTATGAAAATAAGTCTATTATTTTGAGTTTTTTTTTTTATATTGTTTAATTTTAGAATCAACTGACCAGTGATCAGTTTACGTTCCGTAAAACATATATATATATATATTATTAATTTATTTCAATTTTTCTACTATTATAAACTTAAAAAGCCCTGGATTATTTGAATTTTTATAGTTCAGCTCCAATAGCAAGAAGTCTAACCTAAATATTTACAATATACTTGTAATATTATTAGGTATATTATAGACAATTATTATATTTATTATTACTTTATTAGTATGTATATTATAGACCAGTGGTTCTCAACCTTTTTTTGTATAACTATTGTATACTATAAAATACGATTAAAATGACAAATAACAGGTATAAGTATGTATTAATAATAAGCGAACTTCATTCAAACGTTTGATAATGTTAATTGTGTAAAAAAATATATAATAATATTATTTTAAGTATATACAATACTACATTAGTAATGTTAATTGTTAATATTATATGATTCACGACCCAATACCATGCTCCTCGCGGCCCATAGGTTGAGGACCGTTGTTATAGAATATACAAATTATTATATTATAATATACACATATATATTAGGTATAGTTTTAGAATTAGAAAAGTGTTGAATTTAAATAATAGTAATCGGAGGAAAGGTACCTATTATCTTTTATGTAAAGTATAATAACATACTTTTCTTTTCAATAACATTTTTTTTTTTTTTTTACAAGGTAACTTGCGAAGTACCTATACATTTAAATATGTTAACAATGCTAATCTATAATCGAACACTTTAGAATCTAAAGTTTAGATTATAAATGATTTAAAATGGCTTTTATTATTATGCCAAGACGTTTAATTTATAATTTCTTTGTATTATATTTTATTTCCGTCACTT